GCTCCTCATACATCCTGAATATCAAAACGATAAACCGAATGCGGATATAGCCTTGCTGCACATCGAACCCTTAGAAACGTAATAAAGCATTCGCCAGGTTTTGCAAAACCCTTGTACGCTTTGCAAAGTTTTCCCATTGAAAAACCAGCTCAACAGTGCAAATCGTGCACCGAGCAAGGGTTTTGCAATAAATAAGTATTCATAAAAACTTATATATGTATCTTTTTGAAACTTTTACTCATTGCAGATTATCTCAATACATACATCCAATTTGCTTGTGGCGTGAATCTGTTGAGATTTCGTCAATTGTTGGAAAGACTGCTACAGTCGTTGGTTGGGGCTATGAAATTGAGAGCAATGAAGACATCTCGCCGTTGCCCAAAATGGTTGATGTCACTATAGTGAGCAAAAATGATTGCATGTGTTCGTCTGCTACCTTTCAACAACTCATCACCGACAATACAATTTGTGCGGGTAATCGTGATGGTACGGGACCCTGTGTGGGTGACTCAGGAGGCGGCCTAATGATGCAGCGGGGCGGTCGTTGGGTTTTGCGCGGCATTGTGTCCGTGGGTCAGTCCTCGAGGCAGCGTTGTAATTTATATGAATATGTACTTTACTGTGATGTGGTGAAGCATATGACATGGGTGAGACGAAACTTTTTGGAGTAGGATGTTTGAGGAACCGCCCTTGTAGCTATAATTTTATTGCACGTTTTTGTTTTTCAAGTCCAAATGTGAAGAAAAAGTTTAACAACGTGTGTAATAAAGTATTTTTTATAAAAAAGGATTTTTGGATAAACATATATTAAGAATATAGCATTTTAAGACATTGTACCATCGAGAATTCGTAAATTCAAATACAAATGTAAGTATTTATATGATTTTATTCACACATATGCAAGTACATATATCCGAAATTTCTGTATAGGCGCGTCACGATCGAAATATATACCGCGGAATATGATTATTTAAGCTTTGTATTTAAACTTTTTTTTCAAATGTGCATAAGAGATGTAAAATGCTTCAAATATAAGTATTTATAATACAAATACAAGATACGTATTTGTATTTTGTATTTAAAAACTTTTTACAAGAGTATTGCGTATTTATATTTTAAATACGTTTCAATCCGTGCATGTACCTTAATTTACTATTTATATTTTTGAAATTCGGCCAATTCTTACATTCGCATTACAAATAATTTAAGAAAGTCATGCAAAGAACCACACAAAATTGGTCCAAGACACACCCAGTTGAAACTTCACTCATTCTCTTCTCTTCTCCTTTGCATTGCTTTCTTCTCTTTTGGTGTTTCAATTCTGTGCCAACTGAAGCCAATTGGAAATGCCAAGTGAAGAAACCTCCTTCTACACTTGGTTTTTCAATGCAGAGGAGGCCTTTCTCTTCCCCTGGTAATATTATCGCGCGCCGTACACCAACACAGGCACGAGAGTGATTATAGTGTGATTTTTGTACGACGAAAGAGGACTTTACTTCTCACTTGGCAGTGGTTTCGGATTGTTTCTTCTTCCGGAAAGGAGAAAAATTAAACTAATATTTTAAATTTTATGGAAATTTGGGCAAGCACACTTTGTGTGTTGGTTTCTGAAAAGTATCTGTTAGTACGAACCTCTCTTCTCAAGCAACACGGAAAACAGAATTCTGCTTAGTAAGGGTTGTAGTGCCTAAGGGCGGCCAAAATTTACTAATAATTTTACTTTAAATATTTGTGGAATTTTACAAGCAAAAATCAACGAGAAAGAGAATCATGCCATTGAATTCATTGATCTTTGCTCTTTAAAGCTGGAAAGGTGGGCGGTTCCACCGTAAATGAAAAATGTAAACACATGCTTCTAAGAACACATCTCCTTTTTTTATTTGCAACATGGCGAGTGATTTAAGGGCGTAATCCTATTATTGAATCATGGTACATACATCCGTATATACATACATATCCATTTATAAGGTGCAGCTTTGGGATTCACCCTATATATAGACAACCAGGCAAATTCCTATATGCGATTACATACATACACACATGATTTTACGCGTACGTACCTACATACATACATATATACATAGATTCATAAATATAAACCGGTTGTGGTAAATTAAAGTGGCACATTATGTCAGGCAAATTTAACGCCCAGCACAAAAACGTGAGCGTAAAATAATCATAACATAACAATACCAAACGCATGCTTAGCCAGAGAGGTTATAAAAATACCTTGGCACTCGCACCATTAGAGGTTTGTGTTGTCCAAGCTCACCCACAGCGGCTTACGATCAAGAAATGATCACCTACTGACGAACATGATCGCCGATTCGCACTTTAGGTATGAGGAGTATAAGTAAACAAAAGCACAGTTTATTTAAATAATCAAAAAAGAAAATGAATAAAAAAAAACTCAAGTTACAGGTGAGAAATCATTAAAAGGCAGAAAAATTTTTTGCAAGTGAGCAATTGCTTTTGAGAGTTTTTAAACTTTGCAAAATAGTTGAAAAAAGGCTTTTGTTCGTGGATTGATAAAAAACTCAAGTAATTGATTGTACAAATAAAAAAATCTGTTATTTCCTGGGTATGCACATATATTGATGAAGCAAAATAAGCGTGGGTAATTAATTGCACATAAGTATGTATGTATAGAATACATATATATATATATATACTGTATATATATATATATATATAATGTACCCAAAAATACGGTTGCCACTTGTTAAAAAATAACTAACCAAACTGAAAAAAACAGCCAACTTTATTTTCCACGTATTTATTACGAACAGAAAAACTTATTACAAAAACAAGTAAGAAAGTCTAAGTTCGGGCGGAGCCGAACATTAAATACCCGGCGCACGTATTAAATATATGTTTTTCACCTTTCTGAAAGCTACCGCTAGATGGTAAGCCGGAGTGTATCAAGTTTGAGTAAATTAGCGTCCTTAAATTTCGAAATACTGCAGTTTCAAGCATTTCTGAAATTTACCGTTATATGAAAAGCGGCCGTAATTTTACTCCGATTTCAATAATTTTCAACGTTTTGATTTTATGTGGCAAGCACAATAACCATACCGAATTCGGTACATATTGGTCGAACGTTTACCGAGATACATATATGTAATCATAAGTGGGCGGTGCCACGCCCATTTTCCAAAATTTTATCATAAACGTTTTTCGTGGTTAAGAATTGTTGCAAGCATCAATTTTGAATAAATTAGCCTTAATATTTACTGATTTATCGAAGATTTTGTATTTCTCTAAATTACCGTTATATGGGATGTGGGCGTGGTTATTGTCCGATTTTAAAAAGTTTCGGCGATTTTTTATGCTGTACCAAGGCCAACAACTGTGCCAAGTTTGGAAGAAATTGGTGCAGCGGTTACCAAGATATACACATGTAACCATAAGTGGGCGTGGCTACGCCCATTTTCCAAAAATTTATAATATTCTTATTTTTCGTCTAAAACTTATTATAAATATCAATTTTGAGTGAATAATCTCCAGTAGTTACTAAAATATCGCATTTTCGTATTTCTGAAAATTACCGTTAATATGGGAAGTGGGCGTGGTTACAGTCCGATTTCGCCCATTTTCAATACCAACCTACCTTGGATAAATGGAAACCTACATACTAGAATTCGTTGAGATATCTCAATTTTTGCTCGAGTTATCGTGTACACGGACGGACGGACAGACGGACGGACAGACAGACATGGCTTAATCGATTTCTCTTTTCATTCTGATCATTTATGTATACATTTGTCTATATCTATCTCGATTCGTTTTGGCTGTTACAAACAACCGTTATGTGAACAAAATTAATATACCCTTGTGCACAAGTGCGCTCGGGTATAAAAAATGTTCCCACGACAGTGGGGTCTATGTGACAGGAACGACCCAGATTTATATTTGGCCAAGGACTGTCATTCCAGCAACACTCCCCAAAAACTCTTTGGGGAACTTGTATGCTGATACAACAACAACAACAACAACAACAACAAAATTTTGAAATGCATATCCATTTGCCATCCAAGAACTAGTGCGCTCGATAACCTTATTTACTTTTTATATATATTTTATACGCAAATGTTACATTAAAAATATGATTTTGAAAATCACAGTGTTTAAACTTCATACAAATTCAGAATATTATGAAAAACCAAGTAGCGAAAATACTCTCTTATGATATCGTCACTAATGAAAATTTAAGATGTCATCCAGTTTTTTTCCGAATTTCCTAAAATCAAATAAACTGTGCACACTTCGATTCTTTTACAAAACTTCAGAGGGAAATCGCTAAAGCAATGATAGTAATGCTGCTATGCGAAGAACTTCCAGCAGAATTTTCTTTATTTTTCATCTGAAACTTCCTTACGAGTTCACATCAACCACTTCATACAATTTTCTTGAAGATTCGTAAAAAATTTGTTACACAAATAAGATACTCCTAAATATTCTACATTTATATATGTATGTATGTTTCATAATCCTGCAAACCAAAGTTCCCGAAATCTTAATCTTTAGGAGATTCTCTTTTCAGTAATGATTTTTTTACGAATATTCAAAGAAAATTATATGAAGTGGCTGACACGAGCTCGTGAAGAACTTTCTGTATGAAAAATAAAGAAAATCTGAAGAAATTCTGCAAGAAATTTTTCACATAGCAGAATTACTTTGATTTCTTTACCGATTTTCTTCCGAATTTGGTAAATGAATCGAAGTGTGCACAATTTATTTCATTTTAGAAAATTCGGCAAAAAATCGAATGAGATCTTTACGAATTCAATAAAAATAATTAAAACAGAAAACGACCAAATCAGAGAAAAAACCACAAAACAACCAAATTCGAAAATATTAAAAAAAAACAAGTTTGGTTGGAAACAACCAACATTGGCATCCGTGCCATACTTATATTTAGTACTTAAGTACATACATACGTATGTACATATTATAACTAAAATATTGGAAATTCAGTTTCTGAATTTACTTCAGGCAGCCGGATCTTCATTCAGTTTGCGACGCTCATTGCGTTGAGATACGAGCCGCGCAGTGCGAATTCTGATTCGTATAAACTAAGCTTAAATTACGAATTGTTGTGACGCATTAAAGTCTGATTGATGTTTTGTAAAGATTAAATAGCAAAGTAAAAGAATTATCAATCAAGTGCCGTGAAGTGAGGCGACGAAGATGTTGTGCTAAAAACTCAAGCTTAAAAATTGAAACCAAACTCAGGCAAAATCAATTAAAAAGAGAAAATAAAATAATTATGATTGGCTTACCGCTAAGAGAGAATATACGTGCAGTAAATATGTTGTTATAGTATCTAGAGAAAATGTGAAAAAGCAGAAATTCGCATCAGAGCTGAAAATCTGTTTTAAAAATATCTTACAGCTAAGAATTCTCAGTGTTTCACGTTTAATTGCTCCGAGTTTTGACATGCTCCACGCGGTTTTGCGCATCACTGCGTTAACACTTTCCTACTCTCTACTGTGGCTTTTGCCATTGATCGGCGATGCCCAACAAGTGCCACTGGTTGCTTGCCCCAAATACTTTGAGTACTTGAACGATGGTAGTCAAAATTTCGGACGCATTACGCTGCCCAACGTTCCAATGGGAACAACGCGGTTGAGTGTGCGCTTTTCACAGCAAGCGCCAGTAAACTCGGTAAGTTTAAATAAGTTCTAGTTGAGAAACATCTTAGCTAAAACAGTTTCAGATTTTGCTCAAATTTGCATTTCACAATGCATACTTATTCAAAATAAACATATGTATATACCAAACGAAAGTAAATAACTTGAATTTTTGAATAAAGAAAACAAAAATAAAGGTATTCGAGTGGTTTTCGAGCATTTTGGTCATAAAAAAATTTGCTAATTTTTTCAAAAATTGTTTGCGTTAAAATGCTCAGTTTAGGAACTTATGTATATTCCGAAAATGAAAGTTATACATACAGTGACTCAAACAGAAGACCACGTGCTGATTTTTATTTAAATATTCGTACTGTTTTTCGAGGTACATTTTTTTGTTATATTTCTTCCAAAATAATGCCAAAAAGATGGCTAATCTTGGCTTCATCTCCATTTTCATCACGTGCGTAGTTCATAGCGGCTATCCTCTGCGCGGTGTGCTTTCTCTACTGCTTTGGTGCTTGCTTATTGGTTCCCTGTTGGTCAAACTGCACTCAGGCCTATTCAGATGATGCAGGTACTTCCCTGTCAGTTGTTTGCAGGAAAGTGTAAATGGCACTGAATACTTGTGATTGACACTTGTTGTGCTCTTTACTAGAGGGAGACGGTTGGACGGCCTTCTTCCTCCTTCCCTTAAAAAAATTAAATAGGGAGATTTGTACCGAGGTGAAGAATTTATGTATGTAGCTTTAAACCTAGATAGTAAACTCTTGTGGCAGTTTAAAAATGGACAAAAGACCTCCAAAACTTTAACAGCCTTCTGACAATGTAAAGAGGTCTTTTGTTCCCTGAGGCTGAAGAATGGCCTAAACCTGAAGGCTGGACTAACTCTAATGCTGAGCCCGGGCAGATACATTGTAGAATCTTTACTGACGACTCTAAAACAGAGGTGGCCAAAACTCTCACTATCATATATTTACACTTTGCTAAACGATGAGAGAATGAAGGGAATAAATCGCTCACGCGTCTGATGCAAACAGTGTTGTCAACGATTTAGAGTTGGAAATTATAAGAAAAAAGGGATTTTTATTATTTTGTAAATAGTCTGAAAGGGAGATATAATATTAAAAAATTAACCTTTTAATATAATTTAATTCACTTGCATTACTTGCTTAGATCTTTTATTATAATTAAAATTAAAGCAAATAGTTGAATTAATTTATATTACTCTTCTTATTTTGCATTAAAAGAAAAGAAATTTCTTAGATGCTTTCCATTTCCAGACAACCGGTCAGGTACGAGCATGATTTTTAATTTCGACCAAACTCAAATAATTGTTTGTTGGTCCAAATAATGAGACACGTATTTTTTTCTTTTGGCTCGGAAAAATTTACCGGCCGAATTAAACGCGATTTTGTTTTTCAGGCAAAAATCGATTATTCGAATTGACAGTGAGAATGTTTTTTTTAAATGCCCATAACTTTGTTAAAATTTAATAGATTCCAACAATGTTTTTACTCGAATGTCAGTAATTCTTGTCACTTCAAGATAGAATGATATAATTATTGATTTTCATTATTTAAAATTTTTTATTTAACAATAAACAAAAAGTGCAAGTTTTTTTTTAAATTTAATTTCTCAAAAAGTGTATTTTTTTTTTCTCTCAAACTTTTTTGTCAGGAAAGAGACAGTTTGAACTACAATCAACCCAAATCTCTAATAGCGAAGATTTTTTTTTCTGAGTTATGATTTTTTATAGAAAATATACGTTTTTGTGGTACATATTCTTATATTGTTTAACTAAATGGAACATATGTATGTAATATATCAGCAAAAAGTACTAATTTTTTGTGTATCAAATAGATATTAGAACACACTTTCCACCATACAGTTTCGATTATAAAAAGCGGGAAAATGTGATTTTGTATTTCGAAACTGTATGGTGGAAAGTGTGTTCTAATATCTATTTGATACACAAAAAATGATCACGGCTGTACTTTTTGCTGATATATTACATACATATGTTTAATTTAGTTAAACAATATAAGAATATTGTAGTATGTACCAAGGCACATAAATACAGGTAGAAGCCAAAATGACGTTGCTCTCATGAGAACCAAACCTTTAAACTTCAACTTGTTTCCCTTTTATTTCCTATATTTCGTTACGCTTTGAGTGACATGTCGTTCTTTTTTTGAATGTTCGTTAATGACAAATTTTAATTAGCATTTGAATTTTTGTAGTGTTGTGCGGTTTATACTTAGTGTATGTGTTAAAAATGCATTACCGGAAGCGCTGTTTTTTATGTGGTGTTAAATATAATGCAGACACCACTCATTTTTTTAACGTGCCTCAAAGTCCTTGGCGTAAGGAGCGTTGGGAAAGCAGCTGTGGGCTAGAGCTGCAGCGAAATGCCTTGCTGTGCGTTAACATTTTAAAGCACCAGATTTCATAAATGCACCGGGAGGTACAGGAAAGGCACGTTTGAAGCCAAGTGCTGTTCCTATGACCCTTATACCGGAAAGTCCCTCCAACAACACTGCAACTCATAAATCAAAAACAGAAAACAACATACAAATTAACAAATTTTAACTAAAGAAAATAAATAAATAAAAACAAAACTTCAAATTTACTTAAAAACGTCAACCAGCGAAATGTAATTTTTTATTTTTCCTTACACACGCTCATTTTTATTTTTACTCTCCCGAAAACTTTGACTTTTGTAGGTTTGATGTCAATTTGGCTTCTACCTGTTTTTATTGTACCATGGTATGTACCACAAAAACGTATATTTTCTATAAAAAATCATAACTCAGAAAAAAAATCTTCGCTATTAGAGATTTGGGTTGATTGTAGTTCAAACTGTCTCTTTCCTGATAAAAAAGTTTGAGAGAAAAAAAAAATACACTTTTTGAGAAATTAAATTTAAAAAAAATTTGCACTTTTTGCTTATTGTTAAATAAAAAATTTTAAATAATGAAAATCAATAATTATATCATTCTACCTTGAAGTGACAAGAATTACTGACATTTTAGTAAAAACATTGTTGGAATCTATTAAATTTTGACAAAGTTATGGGCATTAAAAAAAAAATTCTCACTGTCAATTCGAATAATCGATTTTTGCCTGAAAAATAAAATCGCGTTTAATTCGGCCGAAAAATTTTTCTGAGCCAAAAGAAAAAATAAGTTTCTCATTATTTGGACCAACAAACAATGTATTTGAGTTTGGTCGAAATTAGAAATCATGCTCGTACCTGACCGGTTGTCTGGAAATGGAAAGCATCCTTAGCATTATTTTAAATTTATTTTTTTGTCTTTGTGCACGTGTACGTAATAATTTATTAATTCAATATGTGGGAATAAGAGAAAATGGCGCTATAATGGCGCTTAACAAAAAAGTTTGTCGTCCGTGCGATTTCTTCATAACATACCAAACATTGTGCTCCCCATCACTAGTGAGTAAAAAATCTATATCCGAATCCATATTAAATATTTTTAAAGTGTCTTGCAGCGACTTGGTTGCTTGAAAGTTTCGCATCAATTGGGCAACATCAAAGCAAAACCATAAATCTCGGCATCACTGATTCATAGAGTATGCTCATGTATGTGTGAAAGCAGCGCAGTTTTTCTCGTGTACGCGTGAAAGCAGAAGAGAAAAATTTCGCACGCGTGCCTATGAAATGGACCCCCTTGCTCTAAAACTGACGCAGAGTATATATCGAAAATAACGGGGGCGATCTATACTTCTCTATTGGGGAAAGTGCGTAGGTATTTCAAGTCTAGGTATTTGCAATTTTCAAGACCATGGACTACTGCTCGAAAATACATAAGTAACTACTTTCTAACTTGTTCGGCAATGCAAGTCTCGACTAAATTATGTTGGAAAATATAAGGAACTTTTCTTACTCTACGTCGCTCGGGTGCGCCTGGTAGTGAGACATCTGACAATTTGGATAGAGAAGCCTCAGACCAATAAATCCTTGAAACGAAAACGGCTTCAATACTCCCAACCTCGGCCATTAAAGCCACTGTCAGAAATTGGATGAATATTTCGTTCTGCAATAACCAGTAGGTTTTGAGAGGCAAAACTCATGTTCCATCCATCTCAGAGAGCCCTGCTTAGTATTTGCTTTGATTTAACATATGACTCTGCACAGTGGCGTAGCTAGGGGGGAAACGAGCAGATAAAAAATATTTAACGGTAAAACTGGCACATACATAAATATATGAAAGAATGCACTCAGGCGACGCCTCTAGCCATTGTGTGTCACAAATTTAAGTTATCGATGGACATTTTTTTTTTAAAGATTTAAAAGAAAATCTCATAGATATATACATATATATGTATATCTATTAATTTGTATAGATATATGTATGAAACTTTCTTATAAATCGGTAACATGCATATTAACTTGAGGTATATATAAAAATTTTTAAGACAAAAACGAAACGTACTCAACCTCACATACATATATCGTCGTTTAAAGTTCAAAACCGCGTATCGTCGTTCTGCAAAACCGCGTAACTGACATTTTGTGCTCTCTACAAAATAATTTATGTAACCTCACAAACGCGGTTTTGCGTTATCTCGATACGCGGCTTTGTACTTTATACGACGATATATAGATATATGAATATATATTACTGATGTAAAAGAAAACCTCATATATGCACATTAGACTGCAACACCCCCCATACAAAAAAAAATCGGTACTGTGTTTCCATTGAAATTATAAAACTTATTATATTTTAAGACGTCCACCAATATATTTCAGAAAAATATTAAGATTTACGTGAGCTGGACCAATTTGAAAACACCTCCAAAAATGGAGCTTTTTATGAATAAAATTAGTTTCTTAAAGATTTTTTTTTTTTTAAATCTCCTCAAATGACAAAACGGTTTAAGCTTAAAAAATATGCATAAAAATATTCTTAAAAAATTGAAAAAAAAATATTGAACGGAATCGTAATAATGAGATTTTTTACGTTGTTATTTAAGTTTTTTTCAAAGATTGGTATAAGAAAAACTTTAATA